GCCCTAATATAACTTATATCACATGTAGACTGTGCCTATGATTTTGCACTGTTTCATGGTTTTCTGTTCCAGTTGCAACCTCAATGTGCCTATATTATCTAAATTCATGAAAATCCTGCCATAGTCACCTATGTTAACATTCATAATTGTTAATCATGGAATACAGACTTTTTTATAATAAAGACTTGTTTATTTTAGAGAGATAGAGCATGAGCAGGGAGCGGGGCAGAGGGAGAGGGAGAGAGAATCCAGATTCCCCTTTGAGCACAGAGCTTAATGTAGGGCTTGATTCCAGGACCTCGAGATCATGACCTGAGCTAAAACCAAGTGTTGGCTGCTTAATTGGCCACCCAAGTGCCCCCAGAGAGTAAATCTTAAATCAATTTGTAAAGATCCGTAATTTAGTTGTCATGTTTCCAATGTTGTTCAGAGATACCAAATTTGGGCATCAGATTCTTCCTCAGGATTAATAATAAGGTAAATTAACAGCAACAATGAATAAACTTTTCATTTCCCTGTCCCTGATTTTATTATTAAAGTCTGTCAAGTTTCAATCTGTTCTGTTTCTGCAAAACTCTGGTGACAATAGAGAAGGAGCACATCAATTAAATATGAAATATCAAGACAAATGCATGAATAAAAAATATCTAGCACTCAGAGAAACTTCCAAAAGCCACTCCTCAGTAGTGAAGCCATTAAATCCTTTAGGAACTCATTAACAGATTACTATTTAGAAGCATAATTATAGAGAGTTGAATTCCAATTAAATAAAAATTATATAATAATCACACTGAATATTTGATAACAATATAATAAGATGTCAGTGGTAACAATTTAACATTGATTGATACAATTGTTAGTAAAAGGCAACTATACACATGTACACATACATATAAACACATGTTTAATATGCATTTATTAGTACTTCATACATTCCATGTATACTACCATATTTCCAAGGATGTAAAGGAATGTACTGAGATGAAATAAAGGATATACATGAAAATGGGCAGAGTTGATACTTAAGTGCCAAAAAACTAAATCCTAAACCAAATTGATTGTGTTAAACCTTGTATAAAAATGAATTTTCTAAGCATTGACCCTATTCTTTTTTAAGGTTCAAATGTACTTTCAAATGATTTAATATGATGAATGTCTCCTTTGACTACTTGTTATATATGCCCCGGAAAGGGGAAAAGTATGATAAAAGAGGGCATAGTATGTACTAAATAATAACATTTTCTGTAATGTTTCTTTCTTATTAGGCATAAGCCCTGAACTATAAACATACATGCTAGAATTTGAGTTATTATCACAGATAATTTTACTAATTGCAGGAGGAAATGGGCATTTGATTAAGTATTTATCAATCTTGGAAATGTCTCCCCTTGGCTACTTTGAATCTAGAGAAGAACTGTAGTGTTTCAGAAGAGCTACAGCTATTGTCAATGGGGCCCAAATGAAATACATGAAGTGTAACAGGGTTGTAAAAGTCATAAATACCAAATAAAATGAACTCATCAATGACTATAAGTGATTGGAGTTTTAGAGTTGCAATTTTCCTTTTTAAATGCCCTTATTGATTTGTTGCAATTACCGTTAACCCTGTATTTGGCAAATGATGAGGACATTATCACTTGTGTTCTCATTTGTAATAAAACAGATTAACTTGCTGTGAAATTTTAACTAGGCTGAGACACAAGAGTAGCCACCTAATGAACCAAAGCACATTGCAATTAAATAGCTAAATAGATGCATACTGATTACAAGGATGAAAAATTGATCTGTTTATTGCAAATAAATTGTTCATAGAACTATTAGTTACTTTAAGAGAAATTAAATATTCCCAGTTCCACACATACATATATATTTTTAAACCCACCTAACTCTTAATCAATATAAGGCACTGAAGTTATCTAATACAGTTTACATGGTGAAAAAGTCAGACCTCTGTGATGCCTTAGGAAAACAATAACAATGAACTGAACCTTGACTGAATTTGGAAAGTGTAATATCTTAAAGGAGAAATATTACTTTATGAGAATATTATGAGAAATATTACTTTATGATACTATTACTGTCACCCTAAATCATGTTTTAAAAGTTATTGTTTCACCTAATATGGTGTTGAAAATGTCAAAGAAAGAGTTGAAGAGTAGGTTGAGTTTATATTATTTGATCATTTGCTAATCTTAATCATTTGAGGGAATCTTCCTTTGTAGTATTGTATTTTTTCTCATTTTCGTAGCATTTTCTATTTGTGTAGATGTTCTTTCAATTTTTTTAAAATTCAAAATGAGCTTTCATTTTTTATTAGGTGGAGTGAACAAGAGCAATGATCACTATTAGTTGGATTCTCTTGTTTTTCCAAATCATCGATTTTATGAATCATTTAAAAATTTTCCATTTTTATTATGGCAGCATATATTTTTAAGTGTATGATTCCTGTTTGCCACAATACAGTGATTTTTTTCAGTTCTAGTTTAGCCTACTAACTGCTGTACTTTGTCCCTGTCCATTCATTCAGATGTCCATCAAACTCAAAAGTAGGACATTGAATTACATATTTTTTCAACACATTTTCAATGTTACAATTCAAAGACAAATACTGAATGTTTTACAATTTATGTACATATTTTGGCATAGAATCATTGAGTCTATGCAACAGTGAAAACCAAAAACTAATTTTGATCTTATATCAAAAATTCCTTGCATAGGTGTTGTCTGTGTCATATGCTATTTAAAGAATATATTTTCAGTCATGACAATTTTGGTTTAATTTCACAACTAATAAACTACTAGTCTTCTCAGAAAGTAAAAGAATCAGTACAAGAGCTGTATATACTTTGCTGTCTATCCTTGTCCCATCACTCCAGAATACAAGGGTAATTGTTTAGAAAATAAAAACTTTTCTGCTTGGCTTATATGTTCATTTTGTACTATAAATGTAGCTTTACAACTAGGTATTTATCTTTAGGGTAAATACAAATGAAATGTATATTAAAAACATTGAAACATTGTTTTTGAGGTATGAAACCAGTTATAGAGCATTTAAAGTGCAACATAAGTTTATTATAATTATCACTATTTAATTAGGAATAATACTGCAACTAATATACGCAAAGTCTACTATTCATTTTATTAAAATTATCAGATGTTAATTATATGCTAAACAGTAATATAAAACACCATTAAAAATAAAACTACTTCATTGAAGACTGTATTAGTGTTTTCTTGCTGCTATAGCAAAATATGATAAATTTAGTGGCTTAAAACAATGCACATTTATTTTCTTATGGTTCTGTAGGTTGGATGTCTAACATGGGTATCACTGAGCTAAAATCTAAAAGTGTTGGCAGGGCTGCTTTTCTTTCTGTAGCTTCCAGGGATGAATCCATTTCCTTGCATTTTTCAGCTTCTAGAAGCCACCCACATTTCTTGGCTCATGGTTCCATAATATTTCCCTCTGACCTTTCCTTTCTGCCTCTAAGTATAATTTATCTATCTCAAGGTTCTCAATCACATCTTAAAAATCCATTTACTATGTGATGTAACATATACACAAGTGATGTAACATATTCAGAGGTCTCAGTCATTAGGATGTGGAGTTAACATTTTTGGGGCCCCTATTCTGCCTGCCACAATGATAGACATTGCAAAATGTTGACTTCTACTAATGAAATAATAAGCTTTAACTCTCATGCTATTACTTTTGTATTTAAACAAACAATAGTTTTCTTTAAGGAATTTATAAATTTTAGGTCTCATGCAAAATCAATATGAAAATGCACAAGCACATTTTTGACAAACTAATTCTTAATATTATGATGATTAGAGGGATCCCTGGGTGGCGCAGCGGTTTGGCGCCTGCCCTTGGCCCAGGGCGCGATCCTGGAGACCCAGGATCGAATCCCACAGTCGGGCTCCTGGTGCATGGAGCCTGCTTCTCCCTCTGCCTGTGTCTCTGCCTCTCTCTCTCTCTCTCTCTGTGACTATCATAAATAAATAAATTAAAAAAATATGATGATTAGAATGCTGATGTCATTACAGATAATTAGAACTTTTAAGAAACCTGTTATGGATGAATTAAATATTTTATAGAACAAACATTCTCTGTCACAACATGCCTATTACCCAGTCACATTTATTGCATATATGCATAAACACAGCAATTTGGTTCTTTTGCTGATCAATTTAGTTGAATGATTGTCAGATTTACTCATCAAGTTGTGATGCATAAACATAGTGAATAATTTCAGAGTTTTATAGCATTATCCAGAGTCACAAAATTTTTGAGAACTACAACAGTTACTGTAGAGGTATGTAAAATGAATGTTTTATTTTTATTCAAACTTATTATTTAAAACCATAAAAATCTAAACAATACAAATATTGATATTGATAGGTTTTAGTGTGAGTTTGGAAAATTCATCATTATGTCCTGTGTCTACCAAACCATTTTGGTGGCAGAATTCAACATATATTCCTGAGGTCTAATAGAGTGCATGTATATTTTCTCCATAATTTTTATTTGTGCAGAAAGACTCAATATGTACCAGATGCCACTATCGGTGAGTTTTATTCCTTGGCTCTCAAGTGTTTATTTTGGGAGATCTTAGAGAGTAGGATCACCCTCTAGGCTTTGGTGTATTCTTTATGTAAATATAAAAGTTTATAATAACATGAATCCTCACTACCCACCTGTGTTCATAATTCTTCATGAGTTTTCTAGGAAAGGAAATGGAAACTAACTAACTAATCTCTAATATATATCCAGCATGACACTGAGCCCTTTCATGTTCTCTTATTTAGCCCTCATAATACCCTACTAATTTCACAAAAAGAAAAATTATGTATTTGTCTAAAGATACACATTTAAGATCAGGTATTATGAACATGCATACTTTGGGGATAAGTGAAAAGTCAGCATTTCAAATGTTATGGACTCAACCAACATAAAAAAAACCTTGGTGAACAGGTGACATTTCCTTTCGTGTCAGGAACGGATCCCAGAGAGTCCTTCTCCTGTTGCCTCTCTGGAAGAGAACCATCATCCTGGGAGTCAGGCTTCCTCCCACCCCAGCAGCAGTGTGTCCAGCTCTCCCTCTCAGGTGGATCACCATTCAGAGAGGATGGGTAAGTGTCTCATCTAAAACAGAAATTAGATATATTATTTCAGGAAATTCTTCATTATTAAGAAAGAAACTGGGGGAGTTGATCTCTCCTTAAAAAAGGGGGGCTTTTTGAAGTGGTCATTTTTTATTGCTGAACAACAAAATGAAACTTAAAGTGTTACAAGTTTCTTCTCTGGAAGGGCCTTCATTTACTGTGTCACTGGATTCAATGGGAACGATATGATGGGATATTTTTAAGCGTATATGTTAAGATAGTTCAATATATTGGTATTTAACAGTTCGGGTGATAAAATACATTTGCTATATTCACTGCATCTTTGAATAATGAAAGATAAAATATCTTTTAAACAGTTAATCATTTAAGAGTGACTAAAATGTGAATCAATATATAATTTGCTGTAATCTCAATAATTTAGATCACAAGTATTTAACATTTTGTTGCTTTTTATTATCTCAGAAGTCTTATACCATAGACACTATTCCAGAAATACTATGCTTTTGTCAGTGATGTGGCATATTGGAGACTTGAATTAGCCATGGTTCTGGCACTGACTAGCTATGAGATCTTGGGTATGTCACTTAACCATAATGAGTTTATTTACTTAATATATGGAAATAATTACTGCCATGCCTAACACACTGGATTTTTGTGAGGTCAAATGAAATATATATGGAAAAATACTTTAGAAATTTAAAATGCTAATGAAGTGTGAGGGATAAGCACTGTTTTTTGCTGTGTCTTTACCATGATTTTTTAAAAGATTTTATTTATTCATGGAGACAGAGGGAGAGAGGGGCAGAGACACAGGCAGAGGGAGAAGCAGGCTCCATACAGGAAGCCTGACGTGGGACTCGATCTCAGTCTCCAAGATCACACCCCGGGCTGCAGGCGGCGCTAAACTGCTCCACCACCAGGACTGCCCTGTCTTTGTCATGATTGCTTATCATTCCTTGCTGCCTGATTTTACTTAGGTATACAGATGTTACCAAGTGCATTCACTTGTAACAAGTTCTCATTTAGTATATAACAATTATGAAACAAACAAGATGGTAAAATCTTTATTTTTTGTATCTACAGAACCTAATTTCCTAAATATCCATCTCCTCTAGGAAAAATGATTTCTGCTCTGCTTTTAGTCTTACTCTATAGGGATGTTCCTTATATGCACTCTAACTTTTTTTTAATAAATTAATTTTTATTGGTGTTCAATTTACCAGCATACAGAATAACACCCAGTGCTCATCACGTCAAGTGTCCCCCTCAGTGCCCGTCACACATTCACCCCCACCCCCAGCCCTCCTCCCCTTCCACCACCCCTAGTTCGTTTCCCACAGTTAGGAGTCTTTATGTTCGGTGTCCCTTTCTGATATTTCCCACACACTTCTTCTCCCTTCCCTTATATTCCCTTTCACCATTATTCATATTCCCCAAATGAATGAGAAAATACACTGTTTGTCCTTCTCCGATTGACTTACTTCACTCAGCATAATCCCCTCCAGTTCCATCCACGTTGAAGCAAATGGTGGGTATTTGTCGTTTCTAATGGCTGAGTAATATTCCATTGTATACATAAACCACATCTTCTTTATCCATTTGTCTTTCGATGGACACCGAGGCTCTTTCCACAGTTTGGCTATTGTGGACATGGCTGGTAGAAACACCGGGGTGCAGGTGTCCCAGCGTTTCATTGCATCTGAATCTTTGGGGTAAATCCCTAACAGTGCAATTGCTGGGTCATAGGGCAGGTCTATTTTTAACTCTTTGAGGAACCTCCACACAGTTTTCCAGAGTGGCTGCACCAGTTCAAATTCCCACCAACAGTGTAAGAGTGTTCCCTTTTCTCCGCATCCTCTCCAACATTTGTTGTTTCCTGCCTTGTTAATTTTCCCCATTCTCACTGGTGTGAAGTGGTATCTCATGGTGGTTTTGATTTGTATTTCCCTGATGGCAAGTGATGCAGAGCATTTTCTCATGTGCATGTTGGCCATGTCTATGTCTTCCTCTGTGAGATTTCTCTTCATGTCTTTTGCCCATTTCATGATTGGATTGTTTGTTTCTTTGCTGTTGAGTTTAATAAGTTCATTATAGATTTTGGAAACTAGCCCTTTATCTGATATGTCTATTGGAAATATCTTCTCCCATTCTGTAGGTTGTCTTTTAGTTTTGTGGACTGTATCCTTTGCTGTTCAAAAGCTTCTTATCTTGATGAAGTCCCAATAGTTCATTTTTGCTTTTGTTTCTTCTGCTTTCATGGATGTATCTTGTATCTTACTGTGACCGAGTTCAAAAAGGGTGTTGCCTGTGTTCTCCTCTAGGATTTTGATGGAATCTTGTCTCACATTTAGATCTTTCATCCATTTTGAGTTTATCTTTGTGTATGGTGCAAGAGAGTGGTCTAGTTTCATTCTTCTGCATGTGGATGTCCAATTTTCCCAGCACCATTTATTGAAGAGACTGTCTTTCTTCCAGTGGATAGTTTTTCCTCCTTTATTTTGTATTAGTTGACCATAAAGTTCAGGGTCCACTTCTGGGTTCTCTATTCTGTTCCATTGATCTATGTGTCTGTTTTTGTGCCAGTACCACACTGTCTTGATGACCACAGCTTTATAGTACAACCTGAAATCTGGCATTGTGATGCCCCCAGATATGGTTTTCTTTTTTAAAATTCCCCTGGCTATTTGGGGTCTTTTCTGATTCCACACAAATCTTAAAATAATGTGTTCTAACTCTCTGAAGAAAGTCCATGGTATTTTGATAGGGATTGCATTAAACGTGTAAATTGCCCTGGGTAACATTGACATTTTCACAATATTAATTCTGCCAATCCCTGAGCATGGAATATTTTTACATCTCTTTGTGTCTTCCTCAATTTCTTTCAGAGGTGTTCTATAGTTTTTAGGGTATAGATCCTTTACCTCTTTGGTTAGGTTTATTCCTAGGTATTTTATGCTTTTGGGTGCAATTGTAAATGGGATTGAGTCCTTAATTTCTCTTTCTTCAGTCTAATTGTTAGTGTATAGAAATGCCATTGATTTCGGGGCATTGATTTTGTATCCTGCCATGCTACCAAATTGCTGTATGAGTTCTAGCAATCTTGGGTTGGAGGCTTTTGGGTTTTCTATGTAGAGTATCATGTCATTGGCGAAGAGGGAGAGTTTGACTTCTTCTTTGCCAATTTGAATGCCTTTAATGTCTTTTTGTTGTCTGATTGCTGAGGCTAGGACTTCCAATACTATGTTGAATAGCAGTGGTGAGAGTGGACATCCCTGTCTGGTTCCTGATCTTAGGGGAAAGGCTCCCAGTGCTTCCCCATTGAGAATGATATTTGCTGTGGGCTTTTCGTAGATGGCTTTTAAGATGTCGAGGAAAGTTCCCCCTATCCTTACACTCTGAAGAGTTTTGATCGGGAATGGATGCTGTATTTTGTCAAATACTTTCTCTGCATCTAATGAGAGGATCCTATGGTTCTTGGTTTTTCTCCTGCTGATATGATGAATCACATCGATTGTTTTACAAGTGTTGAACCAGCCTTGTGTCCGGGAATAAATCCTACTTGGTCATGGTGAATAATTTTGTTAATGTGTTGTTGGATCCTATTGGCTAGTATATTGTTGAGAATTTCTGCATCCATGTTCATCAGGGATATTGGTCTGTAATTCTCCTTTTTGGTGGGGTCTTTGTCTGGTTTTGAAATTAAGGTGATGCTGGCCTCATAGAACGAATTTGGAAATATTCCATCTCTTTTTATCATTCCAAACAGCTTTAGTAGAATAGGTATGATTTCTTCTTTAAACGTTTGATAGAATTCCCCTGGGAAGCCATCTGGCCCTGGACTCTTGTGTCTTGGGAGGTTTTTGATGACTGCTTCAATTTCCTCCCTGGTTATTGGCCTGTTCAGGTTTTCTATTTCTTCCTGTTCGAGTTTTGGTAGTTTGTGGCTTTCCAGGAATGCGACCATTACTTCTAGATTGCCTAACTTATTGGCGTAGAGCTGTTCATAATATGTTTTTAAAATCGTTTGCATTTCCTTGGTGTTGGTAGTGAACTCTCCTTTCTCATTCATGATTTTATTAATTTGAGTCTTCTCTCTCTTCTTTTTAATAAGGTTGGCTAATGGTTTGTCTATCTTATTAATTCTTTCAAAGAACCAACTCCTGGTTCTGTTGATCTGTTCCACAGTTCTTCTGGTCTCAATTTTGTTGAGTTCTGCTCGAATTTTAATTAACTCTCTTCTTCTGCTGGGCATCCGGTACATTTCCTGTTTTTTCTCTACCTCCTTTATATGTAAGGTTAGCTTTTGTATTTGAGTTCTTTCCAGTTTTTGAATGGATGCTTGTATTGCGATGTATTTCCCCCTCAGGACTGATTTGCTGCATCCCAAAGATTTTGAACGGTTATATCTTCACTCTCATTAGTTTCCATGAATCTTTTTAATTCTTCCTTAATTTCCTGGTTGAGCCTTTCATCTTTCAGCAGGATGGTCCTTAACCTCCACGTGTTTGATGTCATTCCAAACTTCTTCTTGTGATTGAGTTCTAATTTCAAGGCATTATGGTCTGAGAATATGCAGGGGACGATCCCAATCTTTTGGTATCGGTTCAGACCCGATTTGTGACCCAGTATGTGGTCTCTTCTGGAGAAAGTTCCATGTGCACTTGAGAAGAATGTGTAATCAGTTGAGTTTGGATGTAAAGTTCTGTAGATATCTGTGAAATCTATCTGGTACAGTGTATCATTTAAAGCTCTTGTTTCTTTGGAGATGTTGTGCTTAGAAGACCTATCGAGGGTAGAAAGAGCGAGATTGAAGTCACCAAGTATAAGTGTATTATTATCTAAATATTTCTTCACTTTGGTTAATAATTCCTTTAAGTATTTGGCAGCTCCCACATTCGGGGCATATATATTGAGGATTGTTAAGTCCTCTTGCTGGATAGATCCTTTAAGTATGAGATAATGTCCCTCTTCATCTCTCACTACAGTCTTCGGGGTAAATTTTAGTTTATCTGATATAAGAATGGCTACCCCTGCTTTCTTTTGAGGACTATTTGAATGGTAAATGGTTCTCCAACCTTTTATTTTCAGGTTGTAGGTGTCCTTCTGTCTAAAATGAGTCTCTTGTAGACAGCAAATAGATGGGTCTTGCTTTTTTATGCAGTCTGAAACCCTGCGCCTTTTGATGGGGTCATTGAGCCCGTTCACGTTCAGAGTTACTATTGACAGATATGAGTTTAGTGTCATCATAATCTCTATTTAGTCCTTGTTTTTGTGGATTGTTCCACTGAACTTCTTCTTAAAGGGGAATTTTAAGAGTCCCCCTTAAAATTTCTTGCAGAGCTGGTTTGGAGGTCACATATTCTTTCAGTTCCTGCCTGTCTTGGAAGCTCTTTATCTCTCCTTCCATTTTGAATGAGAGCCTTGCTGGATAAAGTATTGTTGGTTGCATGTTGTTCTCATTTAGGACCCTGAATATATCCTGCCAGCCCTTTCTGGCCTGCCAAGTCTCTGTGGAGAGGTCTGCTGTCACCCTAATATTCCTCCCCATGAAAGTCAGGGACTTCTTGTCTCTTGCTGCTTTAAGGATCTTCTCTTTATCTTGGAATTTTCAAGCTTCACTATTAGATGTCGAGGTGTTGAACAGTTTTTATTGATTTTAGGGGGGGATCTCTCTATTTCCTGGATCTGAATGCCTGTTTCCCTTCCCAGATTGGGAAAGTTTTCAGCTAGGATTTGTTCAAATACATATTCTGGCCCTCTGTCCCTTTCGTCGCCCTCGGGAACCCCAATTAAACGTAGGTTTTTCTTCCTTAGGCTGTCATTTATTTCCCTTAATCTGTCTTCATGGTCTTTTAATTGTCTGTCTCTTTTTTCCTCAGTTTCCCTCTTTGCCATTAACTTGTCTTCTATGTCACTCACTCGTTCTTCCACCTCGTTAACCCTCGTCGTTAGGACTTCTAGTTTGGATTGCATCTCATTCAATTGATTTTTAATTTCTGCCTGATTGGATCTAAATTCTGCAGTCATGAAGTCTCGTGAGTCCTTAATGCTTTTTTCTAGAGCCACCAGTAGCTGTATAATAGTGCTTCTGACTTGGCTTTCTGACATTGAATTGTAATCCAGATTTTGTAACTCTGTGTGAGAGAAGGCTGTTTCTGATTCTTTCTTTTGAGGTGAGGTTTTCCTTCTAGTCATTTTGCTCAGTGCAGAGTGGCCAAAAACAAGTTGTATTGGGAAAAGGAGAGAAAGAGAGAGAAGGAAAGAAAAGAGAAAAAGAAAAAAGAAAAAGAAGAAAAAAAAGGAAAAAAAAGAGAAGAAAAAGAGAAAGAAAAATAAAGGTGAAAAAGGGGGGGTGGGGGAAGCAATCAGAAATCAAAAAGAAAAGAAAAAAGAAACAAAAAACAAAAAACACGGGGATGTGTCTTCTGATTCTGTATAACTTTAAGTCCTTTGGTTCCCCTGGAACTGGTCCGTCTAGCTGTTCTTCTGGGGGAGGGGCCTGCTGTGCTGATTTTCAGGTGTTAGCACTTGGGGGAGCTGCTCTGCCCCTGCCTGCTGCAGGGCTCAGCGGGGGTTGTTTACCCCGTGAGGCCCCAGGAGGAACAGCCGCAGTTGTTAAGGCAGCTCTGGAAGCCTGGATTCAGCCCCCGCAGGACCTATGGGGCTCTTGGTCCCGTCCGCAGGGCCTGGAGGCTCCGGGGTGGGGCCGCTGTTCTGCTCAGCTGGGGCAGGAGCGTCCTTGCTGTCCTGGGCCCTCCGGGCCTCTGCCTGTCCCGGGGGAGGCCGGATCCTGGGCTGTGTCCCGGCGCTCTGTGCTCCAGGGCCTGCGCTGTTGGATTCGCGCTCCTGGTCGCGCAGCCGCCTCTCTCCGGAGCCGCCCGAGCCCCTCCGAGCTGCTCCCGGCCGCGCAGCCCCCTCCGCACGGAGCCTCTTCCTCTGCCCGAGCCGCCGCCGAGCTGCTCCCGGAGCCGCGCAGCCCCCTCAGCGGAGCCCCCGCCACGCCCCGCGGAGCTGCTCCGGGTCCCGCAGTGCGCGCTGCATCCCTTAGGGAGCTCGGCGCACTCTCCCCGGGGCGCAGGTGTCTGTTAGTGTCCCAGGGAGCCCGAGGGCATCCCCGCCCTCCTGGGTCCTGCTCTAACTCCCTGCGAGCCCCTTTCTGCCCGGGAAGGTTGGTGCAGCTCCTGCTTCTCTGGGACGGGGCTCTCCTGTCCTGGGGACACTCGCCCCGGCCTCAGCCCGACTCCTCGCGGGGCCCTCCCCCTCGGAGGCCTTTTGTTTCTTTATTTCTTTATCCCCATCTTCCTACCTTGAGAGAAGCGCGAACTCTTCTCACTGTAGCATTGCAGCTGTTGCCTCTTTAAATCTCAGGCCGAATTCGTAGATTTTCAGGATGATTTGAAGGTTATCTAGGTAATTTGGTGGGGACAGGTGATTTGGGGACCCTACTCTTCCGCCATCTTGCCCCTCCTCCCCCTAATCCTAAAATTTGTATGGAACCAGGAAAGTCTCTGAATAGCCAGAGCAATCTTTTTTTTTTTTTCTTTTTTGCCAGAGCAATCTTGAAGAAGAAAAGCAAAGCTGAAGGCATAAGAATTCTGGACTTCAAGTTATATTACAAAGCTGTAGTCATCATGCAGTATGGCACTGGCACAAAAACAGAAACATTGATTAGTGGAACAGAATAGAAAGCCCAGGAATGCACCCTTAGCTATATGGTCAACGAATCTTTGACAAAGCTGGAAAGAATATCCAATGGAAAAAAGACAGTCTATTCAACAAATGACGTTGGGAAAACTGGACAGCAATGTACAGAAGGATGAAACTAGACCACTTTGTTACACCACACAAAAATATATTCAAAATGGATGAAAGTCCTAAATGAGAGATTTAATTATAAAAAATCCTAGAAAAGACCACAGGCAGTATCCTCTCTGACATCTGTCAAAGCATTTTTTTTCCTAGAGAAGTCCCCTATGGCAAGGGAAACAAAGGCAAAAATGAACTATTGGGACTTCCTCAAGATAAAAAGCTTCTGCAGAGCAAAGAAAACAATCATCAAAACTAAAAGGCAGCCTACAGAATTGAAGACCACATTTGTAAATGACATATCTGATAAGGTATTATTATTCAAAATATATAAAGAACTTATCAAACTCAATACCCTAAGACCAAATAATCCAGTTTAAGAAATGGCAGAGGACTTGAATACATTTTTCTAAAGAAGACATACAGATAGCTAGCAGACACATGAAAAGATGCTCAATGTCACTCATCATCAAATAAATATAAATTAAAACCATCATGAGGATACCTGGGTGGCTCAGTCAGTTAAGCGTCTGCCTTCAGCTTAGGTTATGATATCAGGGTCCTAGGATCAAGCCCTGCATCAGGTTCCCTGCTCAGCAATGAGTTTGCTTCTCCCTAATCTTCTCCCAAACGTGTTCTCTCCTCTCTCTCTCTCTCTCTCTCTCTCTCTCTCAAATAAAGAAATAAAATCTAAAACAAAACAAAACACAATGAGATACCACCTCATGCATCTCAGAATGGCTACAATTAACCACACAGGAAACAACACATGTTGACGAGGATGCAGAGAAAGAGAAACCCTCTTACACTGTTGGTGGGAGTGCAGGCTAGTGCAGCCACTCTTGGAAACAGTATGGAGATTCCTTAAAAAGTTAAATATAGAACTACCCTAAGACCCATCAATTGCACTACTAAGTATTTACCCAAAGGACCAAAAATACTGATTTGAAGGGGCACATGCATGTGTGTGTGTGTGTGTGTGTGTGTGTGTAGAGAGAAAGAGAGAATAAAATGAATGAGTTCAGCAATAAAATGAATGAGTTCTTGCCTTTTGCAATGACATCAATGGATAGGATTTCTCATAGTAAGTGAAATAAGTCAGAGAAAGACAAATACCATTTTATTTCACTCATATGTGGAATTTAAGAAACAAAGCAGATGAACAAAGAAAAAATAGAAAAGGGGGAGGAAAATAATAACAAACTCTTAACTGTAGAGAAGAAACAGAATTGCTGGAGTGGGTGGTGGGAGTGATGGGTATTAAGGAAGGCACTTGTGACGAGCACTAGGTGCTGTATGTAAGTGACTTTTCCTCCAATAAGTAATGGGCTGTTATTCTCTGGCTACCTTACAGGATTTTCTTTGTTGATAGTTTTAAATTTTGATATGAGGTGTGTGATGAGGATTTCTTTGTATATATTCTTTTGGAATTTATTCAGTCTTGAATCTGTTGTTATATCTTTTGAGAAATTTGGGAAGTTTCAGACTTTATTTCTTTGAGTAGCTTTTTAGTCTTGCCTTCTTTCTTCTTTCCTGAGACCCCAATGACACAAATGTTGGGTCTTTGATATAGTCCCACATACGCCTTTAGCTCTTTCTCTCACGTGTTTTTTGTTTTGTTTTTTTTTTTAGTACATTTTCCCCTCTTTTTCATATTAGGTAATTTCTGTTTTTCTCTCTTGAAATTCGCCGATTCTTTCCTCTAACCTCTCCATTCTTTCCATTGAGCCTTCCTATTGAGTTTTGAAATTGTGGTTATTACAGTTTTCAGTAGTTATTAATTTATTGCCTCTTGAAATTTTTATTTTTATTTTTTTGCTGAAACTTTCCATTTCTTTACTGATATTTATATTTTCATTTGTTTCATGTATCTTTGTAGTTGTTTACTGAACTTTTTTATAATACTGCTTTAAAATCCTTTTCAGAAAGCTAAGAAATCTTAGTGTTGGGGAAGGAGGGGCAAGATGGCGGAAGAGCAGGCTCCCCGAGTAACCTGTCCCCACCAAATTACCTAGATAACCTTCAAACCATCCTGAAAATCTACAAATTCGGCCTGAGATGTAAAGAGAGACCAGCTGTAATGCTACAGTGAGAAGAGTTCGCGCTTCTATCAAGGTAGGAAGACGGGGAAAAAGAAATAAAGGAACAAAAGGCCTCCGAGGGGGAGGGGCCCGCGAGGAGCCGGGCTGAAGCCGGGGCGAGTGTCCCCAGGACAGGAGAGCCCCGTCCCGGAGAAGCAGGAGCTGCACCAACCTTCCCGGGCGGAAAGGGGCTCGCAGGGAGTTAGAGCAGGACCCAGGAGGGCGGGGATGCCCTCAGGCTCCCTGGGACACTAACAGACACCTGCAAGAGCAGGAGAGTGCTCCGAGCTCCCTAAGGGCTGCAGCGCGCACGGCGGGGCCGGAGCAGCTCGGAGGGGCTCGGGAGCGGCTCCAGGGAGGGAGCTGCAGGGCGGGAGCGCGAATCCACCAGCGCAGGCCCCGGAGCACAGGGCGCCGGGACACAGCCCAGGATCCGGCCTCCCCCGGGACAGGCAGAGGCCGGGAGGGCCCAGGACAGCAAGGACGCTCCTGCCCCGAGCTGAGCAGATCAGCGGCCCCGCCCCGGAGCCTCCAGGCCCTGCAGAAGGGGAGAGCCGAGAGCCCCGAGCCCCGTAGTTCCTGCGGAGGCTGAATCCAGGCTTCCAGAGTTGCCATAGCAACTGCTGCTGTTCCTCCTGGGGCCCCACGGGGTAAACAACCCCCGCTGAGCCCGGCAGCAGGCAGGGGCAGAGCAGCTCCCCCAAGTGCTAACACCTGAAAATCAGCGCAACAGGCCCCTCCCCCAGAAGACCAGCTAGACGGACCAGTGATACTCCCCCGTGTTCCAATACAACTTGTTTCTGGCCACTCTGCACTGAGCAAAATGACTAGAAGGAAAACCTCACTTGAAAAGAAAGAATCAGAAACAGACCTCTTTCCCACAGAGTTACAAAATCTGGATTACACTTCAATGTCAGAAAGCCAATTCAGAAGCACCATTATACAGCTACTGGTGGCTCTAGAAAAAAGCATTAAGGACTCACGAGACTTCATGACTGCAGAATTTAGATCCAATCAGGCAGAAATTAAAAATCAATTGAATGAGATGCAATCCAAACTAGAAGTCCTAACGACGAGGGTTAACGAGGTGGAAGAACGAGTGAGTGACATAGAAGACAAGTTAATGGCAAAGAGGGAAACTGAGGAAAAAAGAGATAAACAATTAAAGAACCATGAAGACAGATTAAGGGAAATGAACGACACTCTAAGGAAGAAAAACCTACGCTTAATTGGGGTTCCCGAGGGCGCCGAAAGGGACAGAGGGCCAGAATATGTATTTGAACAAATCCTATCTGAAAACTTTCCCAATCTGGGAAGGGAAACAGGCATTCAGATCCAGGAAATAGAGAGATCCCCCCCTAAAATCAATAAAAACCGTTCAACACCTCGACATCTAATAGTGAAGCTTGCAAATTCCAAAGATAAAGAGAAGATCCTTAAAGCAGCAAGAGACAAGAAGTCCCTGACTTTCATGGGGAGGAATATTAGGGTAACAGCAGACCTCTCCACAGAGACGTGGCAGGCCAGAAAGGGCTGGCAGGATATATTCAGGGTCCTAAATGAGGAGAACATGCAACCAAGAATACTTTATCCAGCAAGGCTCTCATTCAAAATGGAAGGAGAGATAAAGAGCTTCCAAGACAAGCAGGAACTGAAAGAATATGTGACCTCCAAACCAGCTCTACAAGAAATTTTAAGGGGGACTCTTAAAATTCCCCTTTAAGAAGAAGTTCAGTGGAACAATCCACACAAACAAGGACTAAATAGATATCATGATGACACTAAACTCATATCTGTCAATAGTAACTCTGAACGTGAATGGGCTTAATGACCCCATCAAAAGGCGCAGGGTTTCAGACTGGATAAAAAAACAGGATCCATCTATTTGCTGTCTACAAGAGACTCATTTTAGACAGAAAGACACCTACAACCTGAAAATAAAAGGTTGGAGAACCATTTACCATTCAAATGGTTCTCAAAATATATCCTAAAAACTATAGAACACTTCTGAAAGAAATTGAGGAAGACACAAAGAGATGGAAAAATATTCCATGCTCATGGATTGGCAGCATTAATATTGTGAAAATGTCAATGTTACCCAGGGCAATTTACACGTATAATGCAATCCCTATCAAAATACCATGGACTTTCTTCAGAGACTTAGAACAAGTTATTTTAAGATTTGTGTGGAATCAGAAAAGACCCCGAACAGCCAGGGGAATTTTAAAAAAGAAAACCATATCTGGGGGCATCACAATGCCAGATTTCAGGTTGTACTACAAAGCTGTGGTCATCAAGACAGTGTGGTACTGGCACAAAAACAGACATATAGATCAATGGAACAGAATAGAGAACCCAGAAGTGGACCCTGTACTTTATGGTCAACTAATATACGATAAAGGAGGAAAGACGATCCACTGGAAGAAAGACAGTCTCTTCAATAAATGGTGCTGGGAAAATTGGACATCCACATGCAGAAGAATGAAACTGGACCACTCTCTTTCACCATACACAAAGATAAACTCAAAATAGATGAAAGATCTAAATGTGAGACAAGATTCCATCAAAATCCCAGAGGAGAACTCAGGCAACACCCTTTTTGAACTTGGCCACAGTAACCGGAGAAGGACAAACAGTGTATGTTCTCATTCATTTGGGGAATAAGAATAATAGTGAAAGGGAATATAAGGGAAGGGAGAAGAAATGTGTGAGAAATATCAGAAAGGGAGACAAAACATAAAGACTTCTAACTCTGGGAAATGACCTAGGGGTGGTGGTGAATGTGTGACGGGCACTGAGGGGGACACTTGACGGGATGAGCACTGGGTGTTATTCTGTATGTTGGTAAATTGAACACCAATAAAAATTAATTTATATAAAAAAAAAGAAAAAAGAAATCTTAGTGTTGGTGGCTGTTCACTGTCTTTTATCATTCAAGTAGAGATATTCTGAGTTTCTTGGTTTGACAAGTGATTTTTTAAATTGTCACCTGGAAAATGTAGGTATTGTGAAACTCTGGATCGTATTTAAATCTTGCATTTTCTCTTACCTTTGTTGACAAAGCCCCACTGGAGTAATGGAGGCAAAATTGCCTCATTTTTACCAAATGTGGATGGGAGTCCAGATTCTCCATTATGTTTCCATTGATATCTTGGAATGAAGTGGTACTAAGTGTTGGGTGGAGCAGGAGTTCAGGCTCTTCATTCTAGTGATACCACTCTGTCTGGAAGGGGTTACCACTCTCCCATGTGGCTTTGCCTCCCACTGTTGGAGCAGGTAGCCTCATTCCCACTTGGCTATGGTGATAATCTTGACTTTCCAGTATCTTTTGTCTGATATCACGCCAGGTAGGAAGGTGAAAGGTATTGGTTAGAAGATGGGAGTCTAATCTTTCCATGTAGTCTCCACTGGCACTGTGTGTGTTTATGGGGGCTGAGTGGTCTCATTACTGCTAAGCATGCCTGAATCTCTACTGAGGTTCTTCTCTAGCACCAGCCTTGCTGAATGAAGGAGGGAAAGAGTTTGAAAGGCATTGGCACACCTCATTACAGCCTGGCAAGAGTGAAGGTTAGGTTTTCCACTTGGCCTTTGCTGGTATGGTGGGGGTGGGACTGTAGATTTTCCTAGGATATTTGTTTGAAGTAGAGTAGTTATCTAAAAGTTTTTAGTATTGCTAAGCTACCCATTCCTAATCTTTTGGCTAGAGAGAGCTTGCTATTCTTGAGGAGTGTATGTGTATGTGTGTGTGTGTGTGTGCATATATGCTCACATGCGTGTGCATGCCTATTGGTGTTTCTGAATTTCTGTCTTTTCTATTATTCAGTCAGGGACATATGAGGGAAAAAAAAGGCCAGGGGTATCATTTATGTGTTATTGACTAAGTTCCAATGACACTAACTGATCTTCCTTTTTCTGTGTATTTTCAGAGTATTCTTATGTTTTATCTAGAAAATGCCCAGAGGTTTTAGTGGTACTTAGAGGAATACAATATATATACTCCATCTTTGGAGGTAGAAGCCTCTCTACTGTTCCTTTATTTTTTAAACAATATTGAATTATACCCCATATATAACAGAGCTCACCCATTTAAAGTGTGAATTTTATTGTTTTTTATTATACTATCAAGGTTGTGCAAACATCAGTACCATCTAACTCAAGAACATATTCATTAACCAAACCAAAACAAAACAATCCTGTACCTATTAGTTGTCACTGCCCATTCCCCTTCCCTCAGCCTCAGGAAACCACTAATCTGATTTTCTTTCTGTAGATTTGCCTAATCTCGATATTTAAAATGGAAATGATACAATATGTGTCTTTTTGTGTCTTGTTTCTTTCACTTTTATGATTTCACGGTTCATCCAAGATGTAGAATGAATCAATATTTTCTTTTTTGTGTCTGAATATTATTCTATTATATGGATATACTACATTTTGTTTATCCATTCATCAATAGATGGACATTTGGAATGTTTCCACCCTTTGGCTATTATATATAAAACTACTATAAATGTTTGTGTAATTTTTTTGTATTCACTTATATTTTATTTCTCTTGTGTATATACCTAAGAGATGAATTGCTCAGTCATATGGTAACTTTACATTTAACCACTTCAGGAACCACCACACTGTTTTCCAAAGTGGCTACAGAATTTTATATTCCTACCAGCAATGTGTAAGTGTTCCAGTTTCTTCCCATACTTTCCAATGCTTATTATTATTTACCAGCAATGTGTAAGTGTTCCAGTTTCTTCCCATCCTTTCCAATGCTTGTTATTATTTTCCTTTTTAGTTATAGCTATTCTAGTGGATATGAAGTATTAATTTGTGGTTTTAATTTTCATTCCTTAATGAATAATGACTTGAGGCATTTTTTGAGGCATTTATTATCCATTTGTTTATCTTTTATGGAGAAACATCTATTTATGTCCTTTTGCCATTTTTAAATTGAAATGCTTGCCTTTTTTGTTTTCAACTTTAAAAAATTCTTTATATATTCTGGATATATAAGACCCTTATCAGACACAGGGTTTGCAAATATTTTATCCTATTCTACAGATTGTCTTTTCACTTTCTTCACAGTAGTTGTCAATGAACAAAATGTTTTAATGAAGTTTATCTATTTTTTCTTTTGCCAGATATACTTTTGTTGTCACATATGAATCCTTTGAAAAAATCAAAGGGTATTCCTTGAAAATATAGTACTGTTCTTCGATTCTTAAGGAAAAAAAAAACATACTACCTGAAAATGGACTCCAACTCTTTGAGATAAGAGTGTTATGGTTTTAGCTCTTATACTTAAATCTATGATCACTTTTGAGTTAATTTGTGTGTTTGGTGTTAAATAGGGAACCAATTTAATTATTTTGCATGCAAATATCCAATTTTACTAGCACAATTTATTGAAAACATTTATTTCCTTAATGGATTATGTTAGCAACCTTGTCAAAACTATAAAGTAAGGTTTATTTCTGGACTCTCAGTTATATTCTATTATCTATGTCTATCCTTATGCCAGTATTGCAATGGCTGGATTACTGTAACCTTATAGTAAGTTTTGAAATTTGGGAATTTGAGTCCTCAAACCTTGTTCTTTTCTTTTAAAGTTTATTTTGGAAATTCTGGGTCCTTTTTGCATTTACATAAGAATTTCACAATTGAATTCTGCTAAAAAGGCAACTGGAATTCCAATAGAAATTATACTGAATCTGTAGATCAAATATTAGGAATATTGCCATCTTAACACTACTAAGTATTTTGATCCATGAACATGAAATGTCTTTCCATTTATTTTGGTTCTCTTTAATTTCTTACAATACTTTATAGTTTTCAGAGTATGTTTTAAATTTATTTTAATGTTTATTCCTAAGTACTTTATTTTTCAATATTTTTAAAAAAGATTTTATTTATTTATTCATGAGAGACAAACACACAGAGAGGCAGAGACATAGGCAGAGGGAGAAGCAGGCTCCCCACCAGGAGCCTGATGTGGGACTCAATCCAAGGACCCCAAGATCATGACCTGAGCCAAAGGCAGATGCTCAACCACTGTGCCACCCATATGCCTCATTATTTTTCAATATTTTTTATTCAATTGTAAATGGAATTGTTTTCTTAATTTCAATTTTGAACTGTTCACTGCTAATGTATAGAAATGCAGTTGATTTTTTATGTTGATTTTGTATTCTTCAACCTTGGTTATTAATTATAATGTTTTTTCTGTAGATTCTTTAAGATTTTCTACATATAAAATCATGACTTCTAAAAATGTAGTTTTACTTCTTTTCCAATCTGTACATCTTTCTTTTTCTTATCTAATTCCCCTGGTTAGAGCCTTTAGTATAATTTTGAACAGTAGCAGTGAGAGTGGAAATTCTTGTCTTATTCCTGAAATTAGGGGGAAAGCATTCAGTCTTTCATCATTAAGTATGATGCTATCACTGGGTTTTTCATAGATGCCTTTTATCAGGTTGAGGAAGTTTCCTTCTGCGACTATTTTGTTGCATGATTTTTACCATGAAAATTTGTTAGATTTTGTCACGTTATTGTTCTGCTTTTATTGAGATCATCATTTGGATTTTGCCCTTTATTTTATTAAAAAGTGTATTACATTAATTTTTTAAAAAAATTTAATGAAAATTTCATTCATAATAAGTAATTTTATCATTTTATCATAAGAATATTTTTTAAAGATTTTAAAAATTTATTCATGAAAGACACAAAGAGAAAGGCAGAGACATAGAGCAAGAAGCTGGCTCCCTGCAGGGAGCCTGATGCAGAACTTGATCCCAGGACCCAGGATCACAATCTGAGCCAAAGGCAGACGCTCAACCACTGAGCTACCCAGGTGCTCCATGATAAGAACAATTAACATGACATCTATCTTCAACAAAATTTTAAGTGCACGATACATTATTTTTCACTATAATACTATAGGCACAATGTTGTACACTGTATCTTTAGAATTTATCTTGCATAACTGAAACTTTGTATCCATTGAACAACTTTCCATTTCCCTTTCTCCAGTCCCACACAATCATGATTCTCCTCATTGTTTTTATGAGTTTCACTATTCTAGGTACCTCCCATTGTGGAATCCTATAGCATTTATGTTTCAGACTGGCTTATTTCACTTAGCATAATGTCCTTTAGTTTCATCCATGTTGCATATGCCAGGATTTTCTTGTTTTTAAGGCTGAATAATATTGCATTGTGGATATGTATCACATTTTCTTTATCCGTTCATATACTTATGGAGATATATGTTGTTTCCATATCTATGGTATTGTGAATAATCTGTAATGAATTTGGAATACAAATATCACTTCAAGTTTTTAATTTTGATTTTCAAATATATACCCAGACATGGGATTGCTGCATCATATGGTACTTATATTTTATTTTTCTTAAGGACCCTCCATACTGTTTTCCATAGTGACTGCATCATTTTATGTTCCCACCATTAGTGTACAAAGTTCCAATTTCTCCATATCCACACAAATATTTGTTATATTTTCTTTTTAAGTTTTATTTAAATTTCAGTTAGTTAATGGACAATTCAATATTAGTTTTAGGTGTACAATACAGTGATTAAGCACTTCCATAGAACACGCTATATTTATCACAAATGTGCTCCTTAATCCCTATCACTTATATAATCTATCCCTCCATCCACCTCTTCTCTGGTCACCATCAATTTGTTCTCTGTAGTGAAGCGTCTGTTTCTTGGTTTACCTCTTTTTTTTTCTCCTTTACTCATTTATTTTGTTTCTTAAATTCCACATGAGTGAAATCATATACTCTCTAGCTCCATCCATGTTGTGGCAAATGACAAGATTGCATTCTTTTTTATGGCTGAGGAATATTCTACTTTAGATATGTATAATTTCTTTATCCATTTATCAGTCAATGGATATTTGGGCTGTTTCCACAATTTGCTTATTGTAGATAATGCTGCTAAAACATTGGGATGCATGTATCCATTTCAATTAGTATTTTTGTTTTTTTTTTTGTTTTTTGTGGTTTTTTTTTTTTTTGGTAAATACTTAGTAGTGAAATTGCTGGATCATAGGGTAGTTCTATTCTTAACATTTAGAGGAAACTCCATGCTGTTTTCTAAAGTGGTTGCACCAGTTTCCATTCCTATCAATCATTCAAGAGGGTTTCACTTTCTCCACATGCTCACCAACATCTTTCACTCTTGTGTGGTTAATTTTAGCCATTCTGATACGTGTGAAGTGATCTTATTGTAGTTTTGATTATCACCTTTGTGATTATGAGTGATGTTGAACATCTTTTGTATTCCTATTGGCCATCCATATGTCTTCTTGGAAAAATGTCTATTAATGTCTTTTCCCATTTTTTACTGGATTTTTGGGTTTTGGGTGTTAGGTTTTATAAGTTATTTATATATTTTTGGATACTTACCCTTTATCAGATAAACACTTGTTATGTTTTTTTTTGTGTGTGTGTGTTTTATGTTTTTAAATAACTATCATAACAGGTGTAAGGTTATATCTCATTTTGATTTGAATTACCTTGATGATTAATGATATTGGCCATATTTTTATATACCTGTTGACCATTTGTATGTCTCTTTTGGAGAAATGTCTATATAAATAAATTTTATTTTTTAAAAAACAGGTTATTTATTTTACTTTTTACTTGAGTTGTAAGAGTTCTTTAAATATTTTGAATGTCAACTCCTTATCAGATATATGTAGTTTGCAAATATTTTCTTCAATTCTATGAGTTGTCATTTTAGTATGTTGAGTTTTTCTTTGATGGTATAGAAGTATTTTTGTTTGAGGTATTCACACTTGCCTTTTTTTTCTTCTGTTGCTTGTGCTTCTGGTGGTATAGTCAAGAAATCATTGCCTAGACCAATGCCATGTTTTCCCCTATATTTTCATCTAAGTTTTACAATCTCAGTTTTTAAGTATTTAATCCATTTTGAGTTTATGTAAGATGCAAGATAAGGATCTAATTTCATTATTTTTCATGTGGATATCCCATTTTCACAGCACCATTTGTTTGAAGAGTCTATCCTTTCTCCATTATGTATTCTTGGGGTCTTGGTCAAAGATCAGTTGAGCATATATGAGCAGATTTATTTCTGGAGTCTTTATTCTGTTCCATTCATCTGTGTGTCTGTATTTATGCCAGTACCATACTGTTTTGATTACTGTGGTTTTGTAATATAATTTTAAGCCAAGAAGTATATTTCAAGCTTTGATTTTTTTTCTCTCAAGATTGCTGTGGATATTTGGGATATTTTGTGATTCCATATGAATTTTAGGATTGTTTTTCCTGTTCCTGTAAAAACTGTCATTGAGTATTTGCTAGAGATTGGATTGAATCTGTAGATCACTTTGAGAAGTGTGGACATTTTAACAATGTCATGCCTTCCAATTCACGAACATGAAATGTCCTTCCATTTATGTGTGTCTTCTTTAATTTATTTCAACAACATTTTGTAGCTTTCAGAGTACAGGGTATGTTTTTTAACAACCTTGATTAAATTTATTCCTAGACATGTTCTTTTTGATAAAATTGTAATTGGGATTGTTTTCTTAATTTCTTTGTCTGATATTTCTTTATTAGTATGTAGAAACACAGTGGACTTTTGTATGTTCATTTTCTATCTTGTTACTTTAATGAATTTGTTTATTAGTTCTCACAGGATTTCGTGGAGCTTTTAGGGTTTTCTACATATCAGATCATGTCATCTGCAAAAAGAGATAGTTTTAATATTTTTGTATGTTGAAATTACATTTTGTCTTTGGATAAGACATTCTTGGCTATGGTGTATAACCATTTTTACAGGCTATTGAATTTCAATTGCTCATACTTTGTTGAGCATTTTTGCACTAATATTCATAATTGCTTTTTCTCTATGCCTTTTTTTCCTTTTCTTGTGATATCTTTGTCTGGCTTTGGTATCAAGGAATTATTGCCCCATAGAATGAGCTAGAAAACTAGTCTTATATAATTAGTTGGAAGAGTTCTCTACCTTCATTTTATCTCACGGATTTCATTAGTGGAGAAATATATTGTATAATTTGAGGTACTTCTTTGACAAATAATTAATTTTTTACACTGACGAAAGAAGGGTAGATAAAGCATGTACACAACACCTGAAACATCAATAGGCAAATGTGATATGAGGATTAATTCTCTAGAAGTTTTTTTTTGTTAAGGATTAAACTTAAAGCATCCAGATAGGGTGAAAAAGGTACAAATAATGAGCTGAGAAACCAAGGTATATATTAAATTTAAATATTTTTAAATGCGATGTTATTTTATAACATCTACAACATGTTTTGCCCTATTATTATTTTGGATTAGTTGTGACCTATGAGCTAGAGACTATTATTCATGCCATTTTCAATGTAAATAGTTCAAGGCATGATTTTCTATTTGTCCTAAAGGATGTTTTTGATGATAAATATACATCTTTATATCTATTTCTATTACAATCATATCTCAAGACTAGACATCAATCCCTCCTTTTTCCCATTTTGTAAGATCATGGCAAACAAAGCCTTTAACATTAATAATTTAACATTGCAGATTAAAATGACAAGGTGTTTTGAAATAAATTAACTTAATCTCAGTTCCTATTACCCATATCTGAAAATCACATTAGAAAGGAATCTAATGCTATTTGTAAGGATGTAGTTATTATGACGACCACTTCTGGGAATAATTTGACAATCTCAAACAAGGCAGATCAAGCTAGTAGTTTTTACACCTTTTAGAAACCCCCTTTTGGATCTTTTTTTTCCTTTGTATCAAAATCCATCAGGGTCAACTGCAACACTTTTGATACTGTCTGACATATTTTGATCAATATAACAGAATTTCACTTTTAAAAAATCACTTGCACCTGATATACAGATTTGTTATAGGTCTCAAAGCATACTTATTTAAACCATCATCTGGAAAACCAGTAATAACACATAAAACAAACTGAACATAATCAGAGTGTATTTATGTTCTCTTTAACCTACAGCCTTTCTTAAATGATGAACAAACCATGGTGAGTGTGTGTGAAAGTATGTCTGCATGGGCACACATACACACACGTATTTTTATGAATCTAAATTCCAAAAGCAACTTTTGAGATTGTATTGAATTAAAATATGAGAGCTCAAATAATATAAACTTACTTGTTATTACTAATTTTACATTAATAGTCTTATATACATAAAGCTCTGGCCTAAGAGATTTCCTATGGAATTATTAGAGTTGTATTATTCAGTTACATGTCTATATTCAGGTTTAAACTAATTGAAAATATAGTCATTTGAGTACAAAAGTAAACAAAATGATCAGTTTGCTTGATTCTTCCCTATTATAAAACATATCACTTTTAAATACATTTTACTCATCTTTTTTTTAAGACTTTCATAGTTACCTATCATTCTAGGGGTGCCTGGGTGGCTCCATTAGGTAAGCATCTACCTTAGGCTAAGGTCATGATCTCAGAGTCCTGGAATGGAGCCCTGCATTAGGTTCCCCACACAGTGGGGAGCTTGCTTCTCCCTCCCCCTCTGCCCATCCCCACTGCTCATGCTTTCTCTCTCTCTCTCAAATAAATAAATAAAATGTTTTTTTTTAAAAAAGCCTTCCATAGTTATCTATCATTCTAGCAATATTTGTTATTCAATGATAAAATATACTGTTAATATTTATGAAACTGATATATTCTGATCCAAAATAAGTGATTTATAATTTCAGTGACAAATCAAATAGTCATAGTAATGTATTTTTATTTATTCTAATTTATTTTTTAAAGATTTCATTTATTTATTCATGAGAGACACACACAGAGAGAGAGAGAGAGACAGAGACATAGGCAGAGGGAGAAATAGGCTCCATTCAGGGAGTCAGATGTGGGACTCCATCCTAGGTCTCCGAGATCACACCCTGAGCTGAAGGCAGATGCTCAACTGCTGAGCCACCCAGGTGTCCCTATTTGTTTTAATTTAAATATTCTTGTCATTTTGACAAGAATTTATTTGAGATAAGAGTACTACACGTTAATATAATCACAAAATAATGTGTATTTTTAAAAGTAAAAAAACTTCAATTTATACAATTTATAGGCTGAATCTTCAAATAATTAATATTTTAAAGGTTTTTGTTCATTCATTATGAGTGCACTTGTCTGCATAATCATAGTTTACAGGTCCCTAGGTACATTTTTAAAAGTATTTAAAAGTCTTTTATGAATGAAAGTGTAGTTAGATATATTAGTTACTGTGTAGATGTTTATAAACAGAAAAATCTTGATGATTTCAATGGTGACAAAAGATCAAAGCTGATTTTATTAAAGTATTATAATACTGAATGTTATAGAAATTGAATTAGCATCTGATATGGCAATGATAGAATAAGAAAAATAGTTTACACATGCATACTTTTCTTCAAGGTTACTATTTGGGTCCTTTCTGTGATTTCAGTTGATTATTTTTATAAATAATATTTTTTTTTGTCTCACATTAATTCAGGCTTTGGAAATGCTATGATGAAGGATATCTTGTCCTCAAGTAGCTCACCGATATGGTTATAAGTCTTTTGAAATAAGTGATATATTCTCTAAATAGAGATTATTTTCTGTGAACTTTGTATTAGGCATAAGAGTCTATACATTTACATGAATATTTCTAATAGATATATTTAATATTATTTGTTTTTAGAATATTTAAAAATTTTCTAGCATATTGGTAGGTGTCTTCTAAAGTAACATTTTCATAAATGTGTTATACAGTGAGCTTAAACTTACAGTAACCCATGTTTACTCATTTATTCATTCATTGTAAACATATATTGAGAGTTCAGCTTTCAACAATATCAAGTTAGATACACTGAAGAGATCTCCTGCTACAATATAATTAAATCTTCACTAAAGGAACATACTTTTTAAAGCATTGTTGGACTCACAAATGGTAATTCCTAGTGAACAAGAAAAGAAGGAAAGAAAAATACAGGAACAGAGAAAGGCAGAAAAGAATGATGAAAGGAAAGAAGAAAGTATGCATGGAATTGAAACCAAGAGTCCAAGAAATTTGCTCTAAACAATGACAGGGTGACGGGCACTGAGGTGGGCACTTGATGGGATGAGCACTGGGTGTTATTCTATATGTTGGCAAATTGAACACCAATAAAAAATAAATTTATAAAAAAAAATAAAGGAAAGCTTGGCTGCCATCAAGATAAAGTAAGGTGGGGATGCTGAACTGGAGATTCCTGCATCAAGCCAGTTCCCTGTATCAGTAGCATCACCTAGCTCCTAACATAAACAAACAATTTTTCTCTGAAGAAATGCATCTTCATTTTAGGTCCTTGGAATTCTCACAATTAAATTTAACCAGATATGGGAGGAGGGGCAAGATGGCGGAAGAGTAGGGTCCCCAAATCACCTGTCGCCACCAAATTACCTAGATAGCCTTCAAATTATCCTGAAAAGCTACGAATTCGGTCTGAGATTTAAAGAGAGAACAGCTGGAATGCTACAGTGAGAAGAGGTCGCGCTTCTATCAGGTAGGAAGACGGGGGAAAAAGAAATAAACAAAAGGAATCCAAGGGTGAGGGGCCCCACGAGGAGCCGGGCTAAGGCCAGGGCGAGTGCCCCCAGGACGGGGAGCCCCGTTCCGGAGAAGAAGGAGCTGCACCAATCTTCCCAGGCTGAAAGGTGCTCCCAGGGAGTTGGAGCAGGACCCAGGAGGGCGGGGATGCCCTCAGGGTCCCTGGGACAGTAACAGAGGAACTGCGCCCCAGGAGAGTGCGCCCAGCTCCCTGAAGGGCTGCAGTGCGCACAGCTGGACCCAGGAGCAGCTCGGAGGGGCTCGGGCGCGGCTCGTTGGAGGGGGCTGCAGGGCGGGAGCACCAATCCAACAGCCCAGGCCCGGGAGCACTGGGAGCCGGGACACAGCCCAGGATCCGGCCTCCCCCTGGGACAGGCAGAGGCCAGGAGGGCCCAGGACAGCAAGGACGCTCCTGCCCCGAGGTGAGCAGATCAGCGGCCCCACCCCGGAGCTTCCAGGCCCTGCAGACGGAAAGCTCTGTAGTTCCTGCGGGAGCTGACTCCAGGGCTCCAGAGCTGGCCGCCGCTACTGTGGTTGTTCCTCCTAGGGCTTCGGGGGTAAACAACCCCCACTGAGCCCTGCACCAGGCAGGGGGAGAGCAGCTTCCCCAAGTGCTAACACCTGAAAATCAGCACAACAGGCCCCTCCCCCAGAGACCAGCTGGACGGACAAGTTCCAAGGGAAGTCAAGGGACTTAAAGTATACAGAATCAGAAGATACTCCCCGTGGTCTTTTTGTTTTGTTTTGTTTTGTTTTGCTTTTTGATTTGTTTGCTTCCCCCACCCCTTTTTTCCTTTCTTTCTTTTTATTTCTTTTTTCTTCTCTTTTTCCCTTTTTTCTTCCTTTTTTCTTTTTTATTTTTCTCTTTTCTTTCCTTTTTTTCCCTCTCTCTCTTTTTCTCCTTTTTCCAATACAACTTGTTTTTGGCCACTCTGCACTGAGCAAAATGACTGGAAGGAAAACCTCACCTCAAAAGAAAGAATCAGAAACAGTCCTCTCTCCCACAGAGTTACAAAATCTGGATTACAATTCAATGTCAGAAAGCCAATTCAGAAGCACTATTATACAGCTACTGGTGGCTCTAGAAAAAAGCATAAAGGACTCAAGAAACTTCATGATTGGGATCCCTGGGTGGCGCAGAGGTTTGGCGCCTGCCTTTGGCCCAGGGCACGATCCTGGAGATCCGGGATCGAGTCCCACGTCGGGCTCCCGGTGCATGGAGCCTGCTTCTCCCTCTGCCTGTGTCTCTGCCTCTCTCTCTCTCTGTGACTATCATAAATAAATAAATAAAAATTTATTTAAAAAAAAAAAAAAAAAAAAGAAACTTCATGACTGTAGAATTTAGATCCAATGAGGCAGAAATTAAAAATCAATTGAATGAGATGCAATCCAACCTAGAAGTCCTAACAATGAGTGTTAATGAGGTGGAAGAACGAGTGAGTGACATAGAAGACAAGTTGATGGCAAAGAGGGAAACTGAGGAAAAAAGAGACAGACAATGAAAAGACCATGAAGATAGATTAAGGGAAATAAACGACAGCCTGAGGAAGAAAACCTACGTTTAATTGGGGTTCCCGAGGGAGCCGAAATGGACAGAGGGCCAGAATATGTATTTGAACAAATCCTAGCTGAAAACTTTCCCAATCTGGGAAGGGAAACAGGCATTCAGATCCAGGAAATAGAGAGATTCCCCCCTGAAATCAATAAAAAACCGTTCAACACCTCGACATTTAATAGTGAAGCTTGCAAATTCCAAAGATAAAGAGAAGATCCTTAAAGCAGCAAGAGACAAGAAGTCCCTGACTTTTATGGGGAGGGGTATTAGGGTAACAGCAGACCTCTCCACAGAGACCTGTCAGGCCAGAAAGGGCTGGCAGGATATATTCAGGGTCCTAAATGAGAAGAACATGCAAGCAAGAATACTTTATCCAGCAAGGCTCTCATTCAGAATGGAAGGAGAGATAAAGAGCTTCCAAGACAGGCAGGAACTGAAAGAATATGTGACCTCCAAATCAGCTCTGCAAGAAATTTTAAGGCGAACACTTAAAATTCCCCTTTAAGAAGAAGTTCAGTGGAACAAATCCACAAAAACCAGGACTGAATAGATATCATGATGACACTAAACTCATCTCCGTCAATAGTAACTCTGAACGTGAATGGGCTTAATGACCCCATCAAAAGGCGCAGGGTTTCAGACTGGATAAAAAGCAGGACCCATCCATTTGCTGTCTACAAGAGACTCATTTTAGACAAAGGACACCTACAACCTGAAAATAAAAGGTTGGAGAACCATTTACCATTCAAATGGTCCTCAAAGGAAAGCAGGGTAGCCATACTTATATCAGATAAACTAAAATTTACCCAGAAGACTGTAGTAAGAGATGAAGAGGGACACTATATCATACTTAAAGGATCTATCCAACAAGAGGACTTAACAATCCTCAATATATATGCCCCGAATGTGAGAGCTGCCAAATACTTAAATGAATTATTAACCAAGGTGAAGAAATACTTAGAGAATAATACACTTATATTTGGTGACTTCAATCTAGCTCTTTCTATACTTGATAGGTCTTCTAAGTACAACATTGCTAAAGAAACAAGAGCTTTAAATGATACACTGGACCAGATGGATTTCACAGGTATCTACAGCACTTTACATCCAAATTCAACTGAGTACACATTCTTCTCAAGTGCACATGGAACTTTCGCCAGAATAGACCACATACTGGGTCACAAATCAGGTCTAAACCGATGCCAAAAGATTGGGATAGTCCCCTGCATATTCTCAGACCATAATGCCTTGAAATTAGAACTAACTCACAACAAGACGTTTGGAAGGACCTCAAACATGTGGAGGTTAAGGACCATCCTGCTAAAAGATGAAAGGTTCAACCAGGAAATTAAGGAGGAATTAAAAAGATTCATGGAAACTAATGAGAATGAAGATACAACCGTTCAAAATCTTTGGGACGCAGCAAAAGCAGTCCTAGGGGGAAATACATTGCAATAAAAGCATCCATTCAAAAACTGGAAAGAACTCAAATACAGAAGCTAACCTTACACATAAAGGAGTTAGAGAAAAAACAGCAAATAGATCCTACACCCAGCAGAAGAAGAGAGTTAATTAAAATTCGAGGAGAACTCAACGAAATCGAGACCAGAAGAACTGTGGAACAGATCAACAGAACCAGGAGTTGGTTCTTTGAAAGAATTAATAAGATAGATAAACCATTAGCAGCCTTATTAAAAAGAAGAGAGAGAAGAATCAAATTAATAAAATCATGAATGAGAAAGGAGAGATCACTACCAACACCAAGGAAATACAAAAGATTTTAAAAACATATTATGAACAGCTATATGCAAATGAATTAGGCAATCTAGAAGAAATGGACGCATGGCTGGAAAGCCACAAACAACCAAAACTGAACAGGAAGAAAGAGAATACCTGAATAGGCCAATAACCAGGGAAGAAATTGAAGAAGTCATCAAAAACCTCCCAAGACACAAGAGTCCAGGGCCAGATGGCTTCCCAGGGGAATTCTATCAAACGTTTAAAGAAGAAACTATACCTATTCTACTAAAGCTGTTTGGAAAGATAGAAAGTGATGGAGTACTTCCAAATTCATTCTATGAAGCCAGCATCACCTTAATTCCAAAACCAGCCAAAGACCCCACCGAAAAGGAGAATTACAGACCAATATCCCTGAGGAACATGGATGGAAAAATTGTCAACAAGATACTAGGCAATAGGATCGAACAATACATTAAGAAAATTATTGACCATGACCAAGTACGATTTATCCCCAGGACCTAAGGCTGGTTCAACACTCATAAAACAATCAACGTGATTCATCATATCAGCAAGAGAAAAACCAAGAACCATATGATCCTCTCATTAGATGCAGAGAAAGCATTTGACAAAATACAGCATCCATTCCTGATCAAAACTCTTCAGAGTGTAGGGATAGAGGGAACTTTCCTCGACATCTTAAAAGCCATCTATGAAAAGCCCACAGCAAATATCATTCTCAATGGGGAAACACTGGGAGCCTTTCCCCTAAGATCAGGAACAAGACAGGGATGTCCACTCTCACCACTGCTATTCAACATAGTATTGGAAGTCCTAGCCTCAGCAATCAGACAACAAAAAGACATTAAAGGCATTCAAATTGGCAAAGAAGAAGTCAAACTCTCCCTCTTCGCCGATGACATGATACTCTACATAGAAAACCCAAAAGCCTCCACCCCAAGATTGCTAGAACTCATACAGCAATTTGGTAGCATGGCAGGATACAAAATCAATGCCCAGAAGTCAGTGGTTTTTCTATACACTAACAATGAGACTGAAGAAAGAGAAATTAAGGAGTCAATCCCATTTACAATTGCACCCAAAAGCATAAGATACCTAGGAATAAACTTAACTAAAGATGTAAAGGCATCTATACTAAAAAGTATAGAACATTTCTGAAAGAAATTGAGGAAGACACAAAGAAATAGAAAAATATTCCATGCTTATTCATTGGAAGAATTAATATTGTGAAAATGTCAATGTTACCCAGGGCAATTTACATGTTTAATGCAATCCCTATCAAAATACCATGGACTTTCTTCAGAGACTTAGAGCAAATTATTTTAAGATTTGTGTGGAATCAGAAAAGACCCCGAATAGCCAGGGGAATTTTAAAAAAGAAAACCATATCTGGGGGCATCACAATGCCAGATTTCAGGTTGTACTACAAAGCTGTGGTCATCAAGACAGTGTGGTACTGGCACAAAAACAGACACATAGATCAATGGAACAGAATAGAGAACCCAGAAGTGGACCCTGAACTTTATGGTCAACTAATATTAGATAAAGAAGGAAAAACTATCCATTGGAAGAAAGACAGTCTCTTCAATAAATGGTGCTGGGAAAATTGGACATCCACATGTAGAAGAATGAAACTAGACCACTCTCTTGCACCATACACAAAGATAAACTCAAAATGGATGAAAGA